TCGAAATGGAAGTAAGCTCAACAATTATGAAACAAGAGATTCCTCGAAACCCAATTTTTCTTCGCATAAGAGATCTCGTTGAGCTACTGAACCGGCGACATTGAATAGACCGACACATTGGGCATGCAGGAATCGTTTCGTGGCCAGATGTGAAGGGAAGCGATCATGTGAAAAAGATAAAAATCATGTCACTTTAGCGCAGTTGGATCGTGAAGCGAATATGGTGGGCACGAAGTATGATTGAACAATGGGTACAGCGAACTTGAACAAGCCACAGTCGATGTGGTTGTATTCAATAACATGCTATTTTCACAATTTTCCATCCTTTTTCATCACTTTTTTGATATACCCCCCAGCAAGATGGACGCTTTGTTAGTGGAAAAAGGGACTTACCTCAACTGGATATGAGCAAATTGAGAAAGTAGAAATAAAGCGTTCAGGAAACGATTGTACCTAAACGCTGTAGATAGGCTCACAAGCAAGATGTTCTCTCGAGGATGCTTGATTTATGATCTTCATTGGAACAGCTTTACTGTTGGTACAACCGTAAAAAGAGCACCATTATCTCCAGAGACTGGCCGACTGGTAGTGGTTGTTGACAAGCTATCATTGAATGGATGCCTCTTCCGCCTCTTTCGGCCAAATACATTCTCAGACACCTCTTCGGTAGCTCTAAGGAGAAGCGGCTTTTTCAGGCCTGGATTGCCGCCTGTCAAAGGGACAATTTACTCATTCGTCGTTCAACGGTTGTGATGGACCTCATTTTTCCTGTCCTAGCACCTGCCTCATTCCATTTGGCTGTACAAAGTGGGAATGAGAAGACTGGGGAGCAGAAAACAATATGAGATGTATTCACCCAATTTCATTTAAGGTGATGTAGGACTGGTAGAAGAAGAATTTTCTCACAATCATATGAGTTTTCATTGAATTTCACATCACCTCAAACGAACATGGGCGATTACATCTTATATTACTGATTTACTGCTAGTCACGGAAAAAACACTACTTAATTCGAAATAGAACAATAAGTAATCTATTCGCTTGCCATCGAAAAAACAATACTGCTTTACCGACATTCCCACTACAGAATGTGATGTGGAAAAATGCCTGAACTTTGTTGAAATTCACATCTGTCCTCTCAACCAAGGGCACTCGTGGCAATGTTTCGTTGTAGCTAATGTGTCGAGATCACACGCAGCACTGTCATGGTCCGAGTCCCGCAGGTGGTGCTGATGAGACCAGTTGAGGCCAGGTCGGAACTGCAGTCGATTTCAGCCGCGATGTGAACACCTCTTTGAAAAGCAAAGCGATGTGGAATTCAGTGGAAGTGTGACATCTGCCTACAGCATTATAGGAAAGTTCGATTCCACTTATTTACGAAAAATAACAGTCCCTCAACGAAATTGAGTGAATAAATCTAACATATATGCTATGGTGATAGTCTCGAAAGTCTGTTTATAAAATGAAAGATACAGATATAGAGTAATGACACCAAGTCAGATGGAGAATTATTCAATCTGTGCAATTTTACCGGTCTTACGAAGATGTTTGTACTCTGTATGGGGCAATTGTGTGTGTTTGCAGGAAAAAATAGGGCGAAATAACAAAATTGGGACTATTCTCTGATTGCATTTGTGATCTGCGCTTTCTTATTCTGCCTCTCCAGAAAGCCTGCATCCACCTGTTCAACTTCTTGGCAGTCTTGCCGGTCCTGCTTGATTAAAAGATAGATTGATACGCTGTGGCTTGACGGCACGAAAGGGAAGATAAACAGCCAATCTTTGCAAGTGCGCGCTGTAAGGGTTGGGATAAACAGGAAGCTTGCTTGACTGGTCCAAATGGTAGAGAGACACTGTCACACAACGTTAGATTTCACAATTGCACTCCTCCACGTACAACTCTTGAGCCTCAGCAAATGAGACGAGAACGCAGAATGGCCCAAGCACGTGACAGTGAAGCATAAACATGGCATATGAAAGATGGTTTAATGCCACGTTCAACTCCGTTTTAGCGTCAATTCTCTCCTCCGACGAGAAGTTGTGAAGTTGCTTTTCCAAAAGTCTTTGGTCTAAACGAGGAATTGACTCTTTGCAAAACTCATCTCTACATCGTATCATGTGCTAGCGACGTCTACAAAGTTGGGCGTAGGTACAGCTGTCTCGATTGTGGAGAGGCCTAGAATCCGCCTGACCCTGGGAAGATAGCCCCTATTTGGCTGGAAAGTATGTAACCAATACGGATCAGTCGGCACGAGGACATTTGATTGACCAGAATATAGCCGAGATGGAAATGTTTTGTTTAAACATAAACAGAATATTTTTGCACATGCAAGCAAATTGAAGCGACAAGGAATGTTGACAATCGGCTACGCTTAAAAGGCATGTTTACAAGAAATGTGAGTTGTTTAGTAATACAATCTAATATAAATTATATAATATTATATACAACATTACATTTCCTATAATATAAAATGTAGTATAAAATGTAAGGAAATTAATTAGGTCATATTATGGCAGGATACAACATTGCCTCGTCGATAATTTAACATAATTGTACCATGAAATAGGTTTGGCTTTTCTTGAAATTCCTTTACACCCTGTGCTTCATTGGCATATTGGTATCATTTAGCGATAATATACTGCAATAACCGGGTTCGAGTCCTCTAATGAAACCAGTCCAGTTGAAGTGGAAACTGCAGTTCATTCCAATAAGGATTGGACAAACAATTTGTAGGAAAGGTTAAGTGAAATTCAATGTAATCCTGAAGCTTGTTCAGATCATTTTGGGAAAATTAAACTTTTGAGAATCAGGCTGAATAGAAGTCTTTTGTGAAATTGCAACTCCGAAAATCGTTCCGATTAAGATGAGTTATAGAAGTGAATCAGGGTGTATGCTGTCAAGGAGATGAGGAAATGTTGCTTGGACACTTTGAAGGGTCGAATTCAGAATGTAACGTAAGAAGGGAGAGCGGATTTCAAAGAAAATTTCATAAAATTCCTTTTTTGCTACCTTCTATTTTGTATGAAAATAGAAGGAAAATGATAAATTGGCCTCTTCGAAAACTGAAGGAGCATTGTCTTTTTGAGCGATTTTGACCGAGGATTTGTGCATAATAGCCGTCGAAACAGTTGTGTGACCCCAATACTTACATGTTGAGCTTCCGTCTGTTTCGTCTTGACGGATGCCATCAGAACTTGCTCACATTTTATTTCTAATGAGATATTGCATTAGCAACTACGAGGTTTGACTATGGTATCGTGCATATCACTAATTGTAGCAACCGACTGAATGGTTCAATCAGACGACTGCCTGATTCGCGAAGTACTTTTAGTTTCTAAATTATCGGTTGGGCAGATGGCCGAATATTTTACCATTTGGCAAGACGATAAAGAGAATCAAGATGATTTATGAATGTAATATAAATATGAATGAATAGAATAAAGTTGACGACTGAATTTACGAGTTAGAAAAGGATGATGACCCATCCATTTAAGATGTCTTCTGTAGCAAATAATGAACCGAATTGGATATAACGGTTTATAGGAAACCATTATCACTTGATTTCCATCTTAATTTCTCTTCTAATCAAACGTAGGGGGTCAAAAATTGAGGTATGATGCCAGCTTGTCTTTCTAAGATATAGTCCTAAAAGGAGCACATGATAGTCTCGATACCTACTTATTTAATTACAAGTAGCGCTGTCGATTGTAATGGCAAAAATGTTATATTTGAGAAGCCTTGAAATGTAATACTTTAATAATTTAAATACTGTTTTCGTGGCAATGTGGCGTAATTTTAAGATGTTGAGCTCATAGACTGCACTACCACATTCCGGGTTCGAGTCCCGTTGGGGGTGTTAATGTGACTCAGGTTTGGTCAGTATTGCAGTTCCGTACAGCAGAGAAGATAACATCTTTGGAGGAGCGTGGCTAAATTAAATTTAATGCTATAATGAGGCCTACTTATTTCAACTATCCCCCCTAGAGTGATTTTAACTCTTAT